TGGGTAGTTACCGCTATAGGAGCCTTCTTGAAGGTCTATATACCTTATAGAAGCCTCATAGAAGCCCTATATACCCTAAACTCCCTACCCTTATTTTCCTTTATTTAAGTGCTAAGGTTGAAGAGCTTCAAGAGTCTTAGAGTCTAGTGGAGCGCATTCGTTGAGATTTGTGTTGCAGACTTAGGGCTTAGGGGTTTCATACTACCCCTAAGGGTCCAAAGGACCCAATAATCAGATACTTGGGTTGCGGGTAGTAGCTATCTAGGCTAATATTGGGGAGAGTATATGGGAGTTTCCGAGAATTAGGGTACCTTATTTTGGGGTCCTTATAGTAAGGATCCTATTATTTAGGGTGCTATATTAGGGTCCCTATTTTCGGAAACCCCCATATGGTTATTAGGTACTTGGACCCTTAAAATACTGATCCGCTGCAGCGACTGGCAAGAAACCCAACAAGAGCCAGGCCACATCCGGGTTCAGGCCACTGGGGTGGCGCCATGTGTCCCAAAATCGTTTTGGGGTTTAGGGCTTAGGGTTTAGGGAAACCTCAAAACAATAAACTCAGCATCTCGCTGCCCCAACTCACTGACTCAGGCAAGGGTCCACAACGAAACACCGCAACTTTACACCCATTTTGTCCGGAGGACAGGCACTGAGGCCAAGGCTACCCGAGCCACACTGTGGGATCCGCAACCCTAAACCCAAAGGACCCAGAGACTCCAATATCCCTTAATTAAGGAATATATATACCTTAAGTTATAGTAGGAACCCCAATAAGAATTACGGTATATTCCTTAATTAAGGGATGTTGGAGTCTCTGGGGAGCCAGCAACTGCGATCAACTGACCTAAGGAGAGAACCATCTCATCCTTAAAATGCCGGGACCCTCAGCTGCTTTGAGGGTTAGAGGTGAGGCTGGTGCAGGGGCCTTAACATTAGAATAATTTTTAGGGGACTTAATAATTGGAACAGGGTTTGGAGGGTCCCTTATTATATTTGTGGTCTAATGGCCTCAAAACCCTATTGTAAGTATGAAGGCCGGGTTTTGTGGGGTATTACCGTGCATTTATGACGCGGGACTTCCAAGACATAGTGTTGGTAATTGTTCAGGCCCATACAGTGGTGCAGTCCATCTTTCACCAGCACGAAGACCATATGACAAGCCACTGCGATGCGTCCACAGCTTGTTCTCCAGAGCGGAGACAAGTATCTTACTTGTATGCACGGTCCATGGTCATGGGTAGAAGCAGCGTGTCTGCTTTCAGGCATGCGATGTACAGTCCGGAGCGCACATTATGCCCTAAACCCTGAACCCTACTAAACCCATGTTGCA